TGTTGATTTTTTTCTTGATTTGGAGGAGAATTTCAATTCTTGAAGGAAAATAGGGCAAAAACCCTAATTTGTTAAAACCTAAGGCGTATTACAGTTTCTAAGTGAAAAAATTGCTGGATAGCAATTTAGAGGCAGGTTTTAGGAGCCAGGTTTTGGAATTTTTAATCCCCAAATAACATAGAAAGGTGGGAAAGTCATTCCTTTAATGAGAGGTTTGATTGAAACCAATTTGTGGGAGGTGATTTTAATGAGGAAAAGAGAGAGAGAGAGGGGGAAGGGGCCGGCCTAAGGAGGGGGGGGGGAGATTGTGTCCACATACAATGGAATATGGACCAAGGCATAAATTGCAAGTGGGAAATTAAATCTGAGATTTATTTCAGGATTTAAAGTGATTTGGCGGGATTAATTTTGAAAATTTCAAAATTCAAATTTCAAGTGGGATGACAGCCTTTATTAGAAGCAATAGGATTAGCCCATTAATGGTGGCGGCGACACATGGAGGGGAGGAGTATGGGGAAGGATTTTATAAGCTTTCCAAACGAGGTTTGCCTACATAGTGAAAAGAGAATAAACAACCCTCTTTAATTTAAAATGTAAATGTGAGATTGAACTTTGAAAAAACTTTCCTTCAGACATATCTTGTAAAAGTTCCAAATAAGGACAAGTATTGAAATTTGAACTTCAAACTTTTCAAACAGGGTCATTACTTTTTCTTTTTTCTGGAGCTAATCTTAGGAATGGTGGAATATGACAATTGAAATCGTCATAATGGAGGTGGGTTCAATGGGAGCTGTGCGGCAATGGGGGCTTGGGGGGATGGACGTCTGGTGTACAGGAGGGGAGAGTTTTATTCCCGGCCTGGTGTGGAGAGGGGAATTTTGGTGCTTCTAGAAGGTAGGATTTGGAGTCGGGGTGCATTGGCATGTGGAGCTCGGAGGAGGGTGGATGTGGTATGGTGGGGTTATGGGAGGGAAGGTGGGTATGGAAGATGGAAACTAAAATAAAGATCTAAGAACTCACGAAGAGATCGTAAAAACGCGAACATTGGACTCCTCCAAAAGTTGATAGGTATTGCTTTCTTAGGGTCTCTCCTCCCATGAACCACATTTGAGATCTAAGCAAAAAAAAATAAAATTTCATTCAATATTCATCGTCCTTCATATACAAGAAAAGCTACATTTAATAGACCTCATTCGAAGAAAGAAAAATAGCAAAGATTAAAACGTCATTCGGGCAACAACACCACTTGATCACTCTTAGGGTAAAATGGAAAAAACAGTAATATAAGATAAACTAGTACATAAGACATTCAAAAAATAAAAATAAAACTCTAGATCCCAGCCGTTGATCTTCTGATGTCCTCATCAAGTGTTGTTTAGGAAAAGTGTTCCTGATTGTGTTTATGTTATTTATTGAAGTATTTTAATTGTTTAGGAAGTTTCTTAAATTCATGTTTAATTATTTAGAAAAAAATTATTAAATCATGGTTTTTTTAGAAAGATTTCTTTTTAAATAATGTTTTTAGAAAGATTTCTTAAATCATGTTTAATTATTTAGGAATGTTTCTTAAATTATATTTATGTTAATTAGAGAATGTTCTATTTATTTAGAAAGGTTTTCCAAATTATGTTTTTTGCTGATTAGGAATATTTAATTTTTGTTATTTTTGTTCTAGGGCTATTTAAGGGAGTTTGTCTATGGTCTTAGGATGATATTGTTGAGTTCATTTTCCTAGTGTTTGTTGTGAGTTCCTAACGGTGTCTAGAGTTTGTAGGAGAGCTGATCTAGCTCTCCGAATAGTAAAATCAATAGTTATCTTTCATTTATTGTTGAAGAGAAATAAGAAAATCAGCCTTATCTTTGTGTTCCTATGTTGCTCGTTCTTTTTTATTTTGTGTTTTTACTTCCAAGATGTATCAAATTACTGGTGAGGTCTAAACAATCTTTGATTTTAACATAGAATCATAATAGTTCTTTTCCTTAATCGAGGCTTTATTTACTTGGATTTAGTTCATGCCTGGAGGTTGATTATTTTTTCAAACCATTGTGTAGCCATAGAAGTGCCTCACTAAACTTCCATTCATATAGATTGTAACCATTCTTGCATTTTTGAGGTAGAGATGGATCTTGTTGATTCAGAAAAATAGCTAAATTAACATAGATTGAGTTATAATGTTCACTGTATAACTAGGATTTTCTAATTATTTTTTGGCAGGAAAATAATATAATAAATAAATGGACCAACTCTTCTCAAAATTGGTGGCAACCATTGCTTGCTAGATTTGGAACTTAGAGTCGAAAACTAGGGCTTCTTTTGATTATGTGTTGTAGTATTGAAAATCTGCAAAACATGATTTTGATTGTGTGGATCTTGAACTCCACCTATGCTCCCAAAATTGATTTTGAGCAAGTATGATGAGAACAACAATCAACATACTCAACTTCACATGTAGCATGCTCACAATTCAGCATAGCGAGTTCAAGCACTCAATGCTGCATGAAATTACTCAAACATAGTCCATCTTGTGAACAAATAGAGTGTTTGTGATGTGTCCAAAATGTTAAATTCATCTAAGAAGAAACATTCATGGCGATCTGATTCAAGCGACAGCAAATCAAGACTGTCTACGGATGCAACGCTGTGCAAAAATTTCCCAAGTGTATCCTGATTGCCAATGAATTACGTCGTTGCGTTCAAAACGTCGAAAATACATAAAAAGGGATCTCTCGCGATCAATTCTAGCGTCCGCGATGAAAAATGGACTATAGATGCAATGTTGCGCAGCATCGCCTCTTTGAGAAAGGACTTCGTCATTGCATCCAGAAACATCGAAATTACTTAAAAAGTCACCCAAATTGTCTTGGTTGTTCGCGAGAAAAAAGGTGGTTTACCTGTGCCACTCAGAGGCTATATTACGTATTTTCGTTGTTGCATGAGAAATCATTGAGCGATCGATTTACTTTTTTTTTTTGCAATTAAGAAAAATTCCTTTTCATCCCAGCTTATCCCTACATCTTATCTCTGCCACAAGCTACCCAAACTCCCGACACAGAAAAATATAATATAATAAAAAATAAAGGGCCAAACTTAAACTCACACATGCAGTCTCCCTCTCTTCATTCTTGTTCACGTGACTAGGCAGACACACTTCTTTCTACTCACACAATCGAATCATCTGCTCCCTATATCCTTTCTTGTCCTTGTAGTTCTCTCCATCTCAACTAAACCCATCGGCCTTCCGTCACTCACCCAGTCGTCCCCTAAGTCGAGCTTTGCCTACTCCTCTTTGACCACCCTACCACCAGCTTCAATTCCAACAAAAGTTGTCGTTCATCCACCTCAGAGGCTGCAAAAAACTCACATGCCTGCATTCTCTCCTCTCCACTAGCCACACAATTGAACTTGTTGTCATCAACCTCCAGCTCTCCTATTTCCATCAACGCTTCTCCAACCTAGGTGTTGCGGACCGTTCTCACCTCCCTGCAACCTCCACTCACCAAATCCGCCCATATCTTCCCTCAGTCAGCCATTAACCCAGCTGCGACTGGCCAATCCCCTTCCTATCTTTATCTCTCCCTTTAAACCCTTCACTCTATCTCTAATAGAGAATCATATCTCCCACTCTCTCCTTTTTTCTCTCTTAAAATCTCTCTCGAACTCCCCTCTTTTACTCTTGCTTTCTCTCTACTTTCTCTCTGTAGATTCTTCTTGCCCTCCTCTTCTTATCACCCTCTCTTTCTCTCTAAGCAGCGAGTTTACCCTTTTTGTAACTGCCTCCTCCCTCCCTCCCTCCTCCCTCCTCCCTATATAATATTTAAAAAAGAGAGAAAAACTTTAGTTTTTTGCCCCTCGCTAGTTGCTCAATCATCACGTCTTCTATTGTTGGACTCGTGCAAGTTGCAATTTTCAAAAAATTTGAAATTAATTATCCTCTCAATGTTGTTCCAATGTATGATGGGTAAAACTTATTAAATCTAAGTATTCCATTCACGCTGTGTCCAATTGGTATTGCGAGTAAAACCCACACACCTAAGTACCTTTTGCATTGTTTCAACAATTGTGGGGAAATTCGTCCTTCTTTGCGGTTGTACAAGCCATGAACCGTGGCCACCCTTTTTTAAGCGTATTGGGATAAGATTCCCCTGTGGTGAGCAGTGTCCTTGTGACAACGCCATCATGCATGCTTTTAAGCGTTGCTGGTGGGAAGGACTAGCACTTCCCGTAGATTACTCCCATGCGGAGGAGACTTTTAAGAAGCGTGGTGAAATTTGGACAAAGTTGACTCTTAGTGAACATGACTTAAAATTTGCCCATATCTTTTTGCTTTAGTCATGGATGTTCTCACTAGAACATTTGCAAGAGAATAGTATACTTGGTGTATGCTTTTTGCTTGAGTTATATTCCCTTGTTGATAAAGATAGAGAGGTGAGTTGAAAGTACTTTGAATTAATGGAGGTAACATTAAGAGACTAAAGGTTTTCGCTTTGTAGTAGATCTAAAAACGGAATATATGGAGTGTAATTTTAGTAGTAATAGACCTAGCAAGGGGATTGTGACTTTGGGTGATCAAGTCATTAATCTACTTTACGATCTTAACTCCTATGCATGTAATTTAGCCTAAGCTTGTTTTATCGCCTTATTGTTTTATTTTAAACATTTAAATCGGCATAAATCTTATTTAATATTGTTCTCGAAATATTAAGCGTGCAAATTTCCGTAAGCAACTCATCTTCACATGTACGTTTCACATCAACCTCCCTTGATTAGAAACCTTCCTGAATAATTTTCCCTAATTAGAAACTTTCTTAAACAACTCGCTCTTGATTAGAAACCTTCCTAAACACCTACCCCTTCCTGGCTGTGGTGCTCCCCCAGCATATCATAATTTTTGCTAAGTTACAGGATATTCTTTTGGGGTGTGTGAGCGATGGGGGCGTTGGTTTGGGGACTAGAGCGAGGAGAAATTCTTGGAAGTTACTGATTAGGCTTTTTGGCAAACCTGTGCTAGATCCTGGTCGTCTCTATCCCACTTCTCAATTGCTTGCTGCAGGTACTTCGTTGCAGCTGGGTAGAACTTTCTTCTAAGCATAACAGCACCCAGCTCAAAATACTCGGTTGCAGTAGCATCACCACTTCTGACTTGCTCCTGAAAGAACAAAATATGTCTAAGCGATTAACTAGATTTGGATTGTTAGTGCGCTCATATCATGAATTGTGCACATCAGAAGCATTTACCAAAAAATTAGAGAATTTAATAAATCTACCTGCAGTTCTTTAGCAGAAAGGTCAAGCTCTCTTCTAACAAGAACCTGGCGAATAACAAAGAAGGTTCCAAGTCCAAGAAGACCTAGTAGTATAAGCAAATAAGATAGCTGTATTCCCAGTTCAAATAACTCCCCAATCTCATAAACCATGTCTGTTTTATTTCCGACACTAGACTGTGCTACTTCACAAGAACTGAACCATGAAAATACCGCAAATGAGAGCACACATGATCTCCATAATTGTTCATTCTTGTTCTCTCTGCTATTGCTCAATAATAGTTGCTCTACTTCTGCAATGAGAGGAGGGAATTGATACATCACTACTCCTTCTGTGGTACAACAAAACACAATGGAGGACTATGCCGTCTAAAGCAGTCAAACAGCAACTCTGACATGCCCCATTATTGAAAGAATTGAAAGCAAATGAATGCATTTTAAAAAAAAAAACTTTATTTAGAAAATTAAAATAGGGATCATGAAACAAAGGCAAATCTCCACCCAAAAAATATCTATGATGCAAATATTTTTCAAAAGAAGAAGTCCAAAATAGTCCCCCAACTATTTAAATGACACTAATTTAATCCCAAAGTATCACATTTCTCTAGTACCTCGATTATAAAACATTAATCCCAAATGATCTCTCAGATAGAAGTTAAAGGAAATTAAGATACAAAATTAATCCCAATTTAGTCTTCAACTAATAAAAAAGATCTCAATTTAGTCCCTTGTATAGTGGATAGATTAAATTGGAGAACGGGCATACTCTAGGATTAAATTGGTTACATACGAATAGTCGGGGAACTATTTTGATATTTTTATCCTATTTTTCAGCGTATATGTCTAAAGAAAATAGAATAATAATTGCATTGCAACCTATTATTACTGAAAGAATTCATGCAAGTGTAAAGCTGATCTTTTAGTTAAGCCTGTTATTCATTAGTGCGGTTAAAGCTCCTACCCTAAGACATTAAAATGATAAGATGCATAATAGCTGTCTTCAATTTAATTAAAATATTTGCAACCTTCTGATGAGGCAGGTTTATTGGATTTCTTGTTGCGTCAACCCAAAAACCATGGACTATACGACATGAATGGAAAGGAGAAGTGTAATCCATTAGCAGATTACTATTTCAAGAGTAGATTTGAAGTAAAATTCATCAGCAAGTGCAACGTGCTAACAGCGTCAAACCAAGAAAGATGCTGGTCACCAACGGCATGCCAATGTGACTTATTACCCTTCGCCAAGGTGACTTATTACCCTTCACCCTGGAACCCAACCCATGGATAGGATTAAAATAAGAAACAAGTCAAACATGGAATTCATGATCTCCGGACCAACAAGTGGGACTATTATTCCACCAGGAGCACAGTTCCAAGATCATGGTTTGTTTATGCTGGTGAAGAATGCAGAGCAGGAGCACTGAAAAAGTTTTATTCAGAATCAAGCAAAAACCAGGAGCAAATGCAAGGGCTGTGATAGGGAAAAGGAATATATATGTAGGAACTAACATATTATTATAATTTATAATGGATGTGATTTGTTTGAATTAGCAAAATATATGACTAGCATGACAATGAAGTAACAAGTATAGTTTATGGCATGGCTGAGAATGAATAAGTATTAATTTTTATAACTAATAGTACAATTTCAAAATAAACATAGTTAGTGAGGGGAACAATTAGAAATTAAAGCATAGTGTGCCTAAGAGAAGATCTATGCAAATATGCATTTATGTAAACGAAAAATAAATTTAAGATTCTACGAAAGTGAAAATTAAATAGAAAAGAGATAAGGACCAAAATAATTCCTTGAATTTTTATGGACCAAAAAATCTCCAACTATTTAAAAGTCATCTTAAGCACTTGACTTTTTAAATAGGGGCCTAAACGATCCCACGGGAGGACTAATTTGGTCCCTATTTAAAGAATCGAGGAACCAAATTGTTACTTTTATATAGTCGGGGACTCTTTTGGTCATCAAAAAAAGTTAGGGACCAATTAGATCCTTTTCTCATATAGAAAATATCACATATAAATTCTTTATTTATTGATATTTATATAAACTTCAAATGTTTCTAAGCAAACATATGAAAACAATATATAAGTTCAAAGAGAAAAACTGTATTGATAAACATCAGAGTTAGAATAGTAAATCGACATGTAGGTTACCTTCAGATTTTGTAAATGTATTACACAATTTTGAATGAAAGATAACCAAGAAAAATGCAAGCTATTGTAAAAAAGGCGAAGACCATTTAAGGAATTTATATTTATAAAATGTCATTGATTTCTTTTCCTTCACTTAAATGTATTTTCTTGTGCTTTCATAAAAACAGCTTCATGAATATGCTAATACAAATTACAATTAACAATCTGCTATCAACGTATAGAAATAGCCAATCTAATAATAATGACAGTTAAAGTGTTTCTGTAAATGATGAGTAACTTCTGAGGAAATAGAAGAAATCAAATAAAAAACTTCATAGCACATCAGGACGAACTAAACCTTAGAAATAATTAATCTATGCATTCATCCTTTTCTCCTCAACCCTTTGCTCAACATACTTCATTAGACTATGAATACAACTAAAAAAGAAAACAAAGATCAAAAGGGTAGAGGCAGGTAGCCCTAGCAGCTCTTTCTCACTCTCTTAGAAAATATTGCCATTGCTACCTTCGCTCTTCTAGGTCTGAGAAGAGAGTGAGAGAGAAGCACAAGTAAACGAGAGAAAGAGTAGTTCATAAGATAGTGCAATTTCCTCACTTAAAGGTGAATGGCATTTGGTTTCTGCAACTATAGTCTGATGCGTGAAAATTGACAGTTCAATTGTTCAAATACTATATTTTTACAAATAAATTTATAAATGAGAATTGAAATTAAAAATAAAGCTGAAACCAGCTTTAGAAAGATATAAGCAAAAAACACTCAATTTTTAAATTAGTTCATATCAAGCAGAAGAAGACTAACCTTCTAGTTTGAAGTTTTTTTTCTTCATTTCCAGTTCCACGTCAAAAATCTGTCTTCCTCCAGCAAAGAATCAGAAGATATTGAAGAAATAAATAAAGATTAGTAACCCTTAATTTCCTGAATGTAAAAACAGTGTAGCTAAGCTGTCTCTATTTTATTTTTGTTACGTCAGCAACCACTGAAAAAACCAACTAAAAGTGCTAGCAAATGTTTTGTCAAAGCAGGCAACAGTTACTGTTGCTAATGTTCAAGAACAAGTACGAATAGTATTAAAAGTTTCTTAGAGTTGCATTGGAACTAGTTTTTTGTTCACACACATATTGACCAATGCCAAAAGAAGAACTTGCATGTTGATATGCACTTTATAGTCAAGATTGTCTATACAAATATCGCATTCAACGTTTGGATAGAGAGGAATAACTGAATTATCTGGAATTCGATTAGACTCAAAGAACAAAAGCTCAGGTAATCATTGCTGAAACTTTTATCTGCATATAAGAGACGTTGAATAGAGAGCTAGCGCTCCTTTTTTTAAATCAATCCTCAGGAATTGGTTCAGCTATATGATTCGAAGACTGCAAGTTTTATTCCAGTACGATGTGTCATCACATTTTTCTATTTTACCGTATTAAATTAACTGGGAAGGCCCTCGATCTAATCAAAAAAAGTTGTACAGAAATTTTGAGCTCTTGTAGCATCGTAATACTGATTATATTTTATAAAAAGTATGGTGCATAAACTAGAACATTCAACCTGAACTGCATTGCGCAATTTGAGATCAAATCAATGAAAACTGTTAAGATAGTTTTTTTTTTTTTTTCCAATGCCTTGCTGCGTTATAAAACCAACTAAGCTTGGGGAGAAAAAAATTGGCTCACAATCTCCCTCACAAATCAAAGGATAGAGAACCAAAGGATGGACTCAGCCATGCAGCAAACTGATGCCGGGATATTTCCACTGAGAAGAGGGTGACTTAGCAAGAGCATTGATCTCCAACGTGAAAGAAAAGCTCGCCATTCTCAACCTGGTGCCTCTCCACGATCGTTGTCTTCCGGAATTGGAGCAGATACTCAACGACACTAAGTAAGAGAACATTAGCTGAAACTTCAGACTTCCCTCTGGAGACGAGGATCAATTAAAGGAAGAATGAACAACCCGCAAATCAAGCTCTGGAAAGCCCAACACATCATTGCCTCAACACAAAGACAAGAGTAGATGGAATACGAATTTATATCCATGGCAAAGTTTCTAGAACAAAGGGTACGGCAATTCATGGCCACCTTTGAATTTTAGAAGGAATAGGCCGTCGAGAAGAAAACTGCCACTTATGAGCATACGTCCAAACTCATACCACTGCAATGAGGATAGCTCACGTGCAAAGACTTGTATGAAACTACGATAGGGCCGGTTCTTGTAATTATCCATGATACCTGTCCTTTTCTATTTATAATGAATTTATGAATGGTTGTCTATCATATTGTAAGTTCAAATAATACCCTACGGTTTAGAATTTGAACTCACCTTTTGTAATCACCATCATTTCCTATAGCAAGGATGGAAGTAATCTGATACTTGGATCCTTGAGGAAGACTTGGGTAGTCTACCTCTCCTCTAGGTCCCTTTGCATGGTAGATCTACAATATTTGGTTGCGACTAAGGGGTTAGTTGGTTTGCCGAAAAAAAATATAGAGTAAAATCAAATGGGATGTAAAAGGAATGTACATATTTAAAATGTTTGGAATTATTTAGATGAGTGTAAAATAAAAGCAGATGATTTTTTTTTTTTGTTTGAAGTAAAATGAATGCAATATAAAGCCCAAAGATAGTGGTAGGCAGATAGTGGTCAATGACGGCTGGTGGTCGACTTGGCAGGGGCGGCCAGTGGCCACAATGACAAAGCATTTACAATGTATTTGGAAATTGGTCAAAATCTAATAATTTCTAAATATATCAAAATAGAACAAGATGGTGATTACATATATTTTAAAATATATTATGCATTTTTTTTTACTTTAAAAAAAAACACCAATATTTTCAAAACATCTATATAAAAAATACTTTACACAAATTTTACTTCAAACCAAACATCCCCTACATGCCCCCATAATGCGAGACTTTGACCATTTGCTTTCTCCAATAGAATAGAGTATAGCTTACCCAAACAGGTTAGATAACTTTGCTCTTTTGGCGTTTGGAGTGACTCAATTCTATTAGGGAAGAGATGAAGTCCCTAGCTTATGTGGAGGGAGTAAATAGACTCTCAAATATGAGAGAATGTACAAGGACGTCTCTCATTATTGGGCAAAGAATGTATCGACTCTACCTAGTTAAGGAATGTATCGACTCTATCACCCTAGAGAGGATTTGAGCAAATCTTATACTCAGTTGAAGGACGTACCAAAAATTACTAGCTTATGCGAGTCAATTAACTCTATCAATTGAGTAATAAGTTAATTGGCTATCACTAGAAGTGGGAGAGGATTCACCTCTCACCTTAAAAAAGAGAAGATTCATATGTTCCCGACTTACGGAGGATGAAAATCAACTCCCAAGCAAGGGAAATGTACTTGAACACCTCTTATTTTTAGCTCAAAGATATATCAACCCCTACTAGCTAGAAGGAAGCATCAAATTTCATCATAAAAAGGATTCAATTATCTCTCACACATAGTTAGAAGATGTGCCCACTCCTACAAGCTTAAGAGGGTGTATCAATTTCATCATCCAAGCAGAAAGATCTTCAGACATTTTTGTCCCATGGAAGTAGAATGAAAATTAACTTACAGGTGCAAGGGAAGGTACTCAAACGTCTTCTCCTCATTGGGAGAATGAAGATCAACATTAAGGCATGGGAGAATGTACTTACATCTCGTATTATTGGGAGGAAGATGCGTCAACTCATGCTAATTAGGAGAATGTATCAACTATATTACCCTAAAGAGGATTCAAGTATCTCATATCTAAATTGGAGTATGTGCCGACTCCTGGTAGCTAAGGAGGGTGCCTCAATCGAACATCTTTGTCTCATGGAGAAGGGGCCGATGGGTTGAAAATCAGATGCATCTCGTTGTCTAGTAGAAGATATATCGACTTCACTTACTAAGAAGATGCATCATCTCTATCACTCTGAAGAAGATTCAAGCAAATCCTATATTTGGACGAAAGATGTACAGGCTCCTGCTAGCTTAGAAGGGTGTGAAAATCAACTCCTAGGCGTGAGGAAAATTAGTCAAATAAAAGAATGCTCGGGGTACTTGAACCACAAGATACTTGCAAATATAGAAGAGTTATAACAACATGTAGTGTATCATGCAATCAGGAAAAAAATTACAAATTCTTATTTACTGCAAAAAATTATCCCTATTTATAGATCTATATAAAATATCTTAATAAAGAAGTAAATAACTATAAAATCATTCATAATTGCCTAATATAATCCTTCCTAAATCAGCCAACTAAATATAGAAATAGATCAGCGTGATCCAGGTGAGCCTCACATGGATTCTCATCCTAGCGGTGGGATCAAAATGTCAAGGGACGACTGGGATTTAACACTACCCCTTAAGATGGGGAATACAGATCGATCATTCCCAACATGGTAATCAGTCCTAGAAAGATAGTTATCGAGTTCCTTGATAAGAATGTCTGCAAGCTGATCTTTTGATGAGACATGATCGATACATATAAGACCACTGTCTAATTTCTCCTTTATGATATATTTGTCCACTTCTATGTGCTTGATCCTATCATGCTGAACCGGATTATGAGCGATGTTGATTGTTGATTTGTTGTCACAGTTTAGCTTCATAAGGCCCTTCCCACTTAATCCTTAGGTCTTCTAGAATCATCTTGATCCATAGTAGCTCACAAATTCCCAAGGTCATAGCTTTTTATTTAGCTTTTACACTAGACCTTGCCACCACATTATGTTTCTTGCTCCTTCATATAATAAGGTTTCCTCCAAAGAATGTGCAGTATCCTGAAGTAGATCGTCTATCTACTGGTGATCCTGCATAATCTGCATCAGTATATGCTTCTGGAATTATTCCACAATCTCTTTTGAAGAGAATCCTTTCACCTGGGTTCCCCTTAAGGTAGTGTAGTATTATGTCTACAACTTGCAGGTGAGTATGCCTTGTATTTTGAATGAACTGGCTAACCATGCTTACTGCAAATGCTATATCTGATATGGTATGGGAAAGATAGATTAATTTTCCCACAAGTCTCTGATAGGATCATTTATATACATTTAAATCTTCTTTAGCTCCTCCCAATTTAAGATTTGGTTCTATTGGTGTTGGTGTTGGTTTATAAGCTAATTTGCATATTTCCTTAAAAAGATCTCAAAGTATTTTTGTTGTGAAATGAATATTCATTTGCTAGAGTGGGCCACTTCAATTCCAAAAAAATATTTTAATATACCAAATCTTTGATCTAAAATTTCTTGGCAAGACATTCTTTTAAAATCACTTTCTTCTTTTCATCATTCCAAATCAAAATGATAGCATCCACATAAACTAATAGAATTTTGACTTCCTCTGAGTCCGAGTGCTTGAAGAATAATGTATATCCCCATTGGCTCTGTCGATAACCATTAAGTAGCATAACTTTTGAGAATTTTTCAAACCAAGTTCTAGGTGACTGCTTTAGCCCATATAGAGCTTTTTTTAACCTGCACACTTTTTTACCCCCAGATTTCTTCTTGAATAATGGTGGAATCTACATAAATATTTCTTCCTCCAAGTCCCCGTAAAGGAATGTATTTTTGACATATAGCCGTTCTAGATGCCAATTGTAATTAGCTGCTAGTGAGAGCAGGATTCTCATGGTGTTCATCTAGGCCACATGTGCAAAAAGCTTTATGGTAGTCAATGTCGTACGTCTGAGTGTACCCTTTCACCACCAGTCTTGCCTTATACCTTTCTAATTGATGCCAGCAAAAATTAGAAATAATCTAATTTTTGCAAGAAAAAAAACACTTCCTAGAATATTCAAAAGACCCCACTTAAAACAAAATATAAGACCATTTTATATCATATAAAGATGACCACACAACAAAAGATGCTTACAAACTTATGAAATAACGACACATACAACTTCCTAAAACTGCATTTCATTAGTTGCTTTGAGAAGAAGGATACAAGTGGCATCGAACTTGTGGGGAGAAGAATGAGATAAGAAGCCGAGACAAAATGGAGGACAAGCTCGCAAGCTTTCCTAGAGGGAGAGGAAAAACGGAACAATCTCGCAAGCTTTTCCACGAAGAAACCCGCATGTTTTGGCTTCCAAAAATCAGTCACATAACTCTTTTTTTTAACTCTCTGAACATCACATATTTATAGGTGACAAAAGGCAACCAAACAGTCCTTAAAATCCCCTCAATTTAACCAATCAAAATAGAGAATATAGAAGGCCAAAAGTCAGTCCAAAACAGCACCCAAACAGCCACATAAAAAACCCAAAAAGGCAGCCAAGAGGGAACCGAAATAGCCTCCAAAGGGATCCAGAACAACACCCGAAAAGGCCACACAAAAAATAGGGAAAAGCAGCCACAGGACAAGCAGCAAGGGGAGGAACCGAAGGGGCAGAGCAACCATGAGACAAGCAGTCAGGGAAGAAGAACCAGGAGGGGAAACCGAAGAGACACGAGGAAGGGAAAAGGAACCTATGGGGAGGAAATCAAAGGGCCACATAGAGGGGCGGAATGAACCTATTTAATTTTAAAATAATGAGCTAAATACAGTAGAAGCTCAACATTAATGAGCTGAATTTTAGTAGCTCACCAAAAAATAAAACCTAAAATATTTTGACACCCTTTGCCTACATCACCAATGTACCATCAACTTCGCATTTCACAGAGAACACCCATTTGTAGCCGACTGATTTTTTTCCTATTGGTAAGTCGATGATCTCCCATGTATTGTTCTTCTTCAGGGCCAACATTTCATTTTTATGGCACTTTTTCAATTTTTAGTAGATAAGGCCTCATAAATATCATTAGAAATATGAATATCATTTAGTGTAATAAAAAAATTATGTGAATGTGAGAAGTTATGGAAGGATACAAAGTTGGTTATAGCGTACAATGGAGTTTTTTTGGTAAACATGTATTTACCTCAATTTCAGGAGACATGTCAGATTCTTGAATCTGCTCTGGAGCATAATTTGGATTTGTACGTCTGGAATACATTTGCCCAAACCTCATGTTATCCATAATAACTTTGTTCTCAATTTTCCTGCCTTTAATTTAGATTTATGTGGATTGATTTGAGATGGAGCTAGAAGGTCAAGAGGGGCAAGCTCACTTTTCTCATCTTCCTTAATTTTAATCTCCCCCTAAATATGAGGTTTGGTGAAATAGGGTTTTTGTTCATCAACAGATACAAGAGTCTTCTTGGTGGAGGGATGATAACAGTTATAACTTTTTTGGGTGGATGAATATCTAACAAAGATACATTTGAGTGCTTTTAGATCTAATTTTTCGCTATTTTGTCTATGAATGTGAATATAAAGGTTATTATGGGTTCAGAATTCGGGGTAAAAAGAGAATAGAATATCCATTGGTGATTTTAGTCCTAAAGTTTTTGAAAGTAGTCGATTTATGAGATTTGTGGCAGTTAGAAGGGCTTCCCCC